AACATGAGTAATTTTAAAAATTATATTTTATCTCCTAAGATTTCTAATTATATAATAAATCATTCATTTTATTAATAAATATTAAATTAATTAACAGTTTTTAATGATATTAAAAATATATTTCAATTAATAATTTAGGTAATTTTATTATTATATACGAGTGCAATTATAAATTTTATTTTTGTAATTAATTTTGTTAAATAAATTTTTGTAATAAAGAGATATTTATAATTTTTCAAACTATAAAAATTAATTTGTATTTTAAGCAAATCTTATGTGTATATTTGTAATTTACCCTTCTAACAGTTGTTCCAAGTATTTTGACCAGTATTTTGGGCATTTCAGCAAGTATGTCAAAGCCTTCCAACTCACCGAACATGTGGTTATTAAGGGGTTGTTTGGGTAGAGAGATGATGTGATGAAAAAAATATAAAAATATAAAAAGATAGATTATTTTGGTGTTGCCAAATTTGGCCTAAGGCCTCGTTTGGCAAATGTCCATTTTAGTTAAAAAATCAAAAAGTTATTAAAAAAATAAAAAAACCAACAACTCATACCAAAAAGTCGAAAATTCTATTTTTTCTCTACTTTTTGCACATCTTTTCGTAAAAAGTTAAAAAGTCGTATCAAACATACTAGTTTTTTTTATATCACATTTTAGCCAAAAAATCAAAAAGTTACTAAAAAAGTTTGTTCCCAAACGAGACTTAAATGTATTTATTGATTTTTTTTATAGATTTTTTTATAAATATTTTTAAAAAGTCTTCAAAATTTGACCCTTATAATAAAATAAATTTTTTAATTTTATCAATTTAAATTCTATTTTTTTGGTTTGTTTTTAATCCAAATCATCAGCCATTTCCAATAGGTAAAACTAAAGGAAAAATTATATTTTAGTCATTAAATTCAATGTAAGCATACATAAATTATCAAAATTACTTTTTTCGTTGAGTTTGATGGCTAAAATATTTTTTTTTTGGGTTAATTTTACCTAACGAAAATAAGTAAGGCTTCGTTTGGGAAGCCATGGTTTGGGCTTTTTTGGCTATTTTAGCCACAAAAAACAAAATAGGCTATTTTAGCCATAACAAACAAAACATCACATCCAACCCATAATCATTACATTTTTCTCTCACAAAAAAACTCAAAAAAGCCAAAAAGTCAAAAAGCCCTTCCCAAACCAAGCTTTTAAGCCCAGGCTAAAATAGCCAAAAAAGCCAAAAAGCCAAAAAGTCAACCCACTTCTCAAACGGAGGCTAAATAGTTTAGATTGAAAACAAATCAAAATTTTAAAATTTAAATTGACAAAATTAAAAATTAAAATTTTATTTTGTTATAAAGGTCAAACCTTGAAATTTTTATTGTTGTTGTAATTTTCACGTTATTTTTTAATTGTAAATAGATTAAATGGATCAAAAAATTTATTTTGAAAAGTATGTTAAAAAGTTGACTTTTGACTTATTTTTGCTTTTTTTTTTTTAAATGTACAAAAAAACAAAAAGAAGTGATATGATTTAAAAAAATAAAAAAAATAAAAAATTGACTTTTAACCAACTTTCAAAATAGGCTTAAAGCTGAAATAAATCCTGTATAAGCTGAAATATACTTGCTAGTATATGTAAACAATTTTGCTACATATAGTGTTAAATTATCAATTTTTTTGGTATAATTAATAAAAATAATAACAATTTAATAGACGTATCTATCATTTTTCATCAATGAAACTATACATGCGGTTGCATACATTGTTTGGTTTCTTTTTCAAAAAAAAATAATAATAATAATAATAGAAATTTTTTGAAAAAATGAAAACTAATTTAATAAAAATAAATATTAAAAAATACATTTTTAAATTTAAAAAATTATTTTTAGTTTCCCAAAGATAGAATAATGTAAAATGAAAATATATTTTTTTAATTTATTTCAAAAAATTAATTTTTAATTTAAAAAAAAATTCCTAAAAACTAGTTCATAAAAACCAAACCAAGTATGACTATGATATTTGTTGCTAAAAATCATTTTTCATCTTTATAATTTATTGATAATGCTTGAATTAATGTTAAAAGCATTAAGATTAATTATATAAAGACCTTTTTAATTATTAATTAATAAATATTATTTCATCTCTTTCATCTATATTGAGTGACCTATTCATTGACTATAAAAATATAACATTTTTACTTTTTTTTGGGACCACCTTGGACATTTGAATGGTTATTAGAATAAATTAAAATATATTCCATAAGATATTCTTAAAATACAAATTACCCTCTATGATTCTAAAAATTACAAATACCTTCTTGTTAAAAATTTTTATTTAATAGAATTAACAACAAAAATGAATTTTTAACTACTTTCTTATATAATAACAAAATTACTTGAATTGTTAATTAAAATATATGTATGACATTATTAAAAACTATTAATTGACTTGATAATTTATTAATAAAAGAAGTCATTTGTTATGCAATTAGAAACTTAAAATGACAGAATATAATTTTCAGAACAATAAGGAACTATTTGTATTTTAAAAAAAATTAAGAAGTGTATTTTTAATTTATCCTGATTTTTATATTAAAGGGATTAATACATTCAAATTCATGGATAATGAGTAAATAAATATTTGGCATGTTAAGATTTAGCTTAAAAGTACAAAAATTACTAAAAATATCAACAAATATCCAAAAGTTAAAGATCTTTTTTCATTCACTATATTTTTTGCACATCTTTTTGTTAAAAATCAAAAAATCAGTCTAAACATACTACAATTTTTTTCTTCATATTTTAGCTAAGGATTAAGTTTTTTTTATGTTTAAATCTCAACATGAGAAAATTTGAGGGACTTGAGGAGCCCACCACTAGTCCCGTTTCAATGATCTAGACTGTTCACATTTTAAGATTCGTTAAATATAACATTGATGCAAAAAATAAGATGATCGGATTTTGGTAATTATACGTGAGAGGGTGATTTATGATCCGGTGTTGGGCCGAGGTATAGACCGAGCAAGATGAGGGCCCAGCAGAGCATTGGGCCGAGATGATCGACTGTTCACCTGGAGATGGGCTACCAGAACTTGGGCCGGGCAGAGTTTGAACTGTGTGCTCCCCCGGACCGTGGAGAAGCTGCTCGGCCAGGAAGTGACCGGTCAGACCAGGATGCTCGGTCCGAGGATTGTCGAAACCAGACAGACCGAGAGACCGGCGCTCGGAAAGGCGCGGTCAGCCGAGATTGTATGGTCGGCAGGAAGGCCGATCGAAGTATCCGGGCTAGGCTCGGCCGGGATGCCGCTTAGCCCGGTCCTCCGTGTGTCTATCCGGTTAGGCGCTTGAGGTATGAAGCATGGTATGACCGAGGAAGGGCAGCTCGGCTGCATACTACAATTTTTTTCTTCATATTTTAGCTAAGGATTAAGTTTTTTTTATGTTTAAATCTCAACATGAGAAAATTTGAGGGACTTGAGGAGCCCACCACTAGTCCCGTTTCAATGATCTAGACTGTTCACATTTTAAGATTCGTTAAATATAACATTGATGCAAAAAATAAGATGATCGGATTTTGGTAATTATATGTTTGAATTAAATTTGTATTATAAAAAATAAATGATTATTTTTGAATTTATCGTCTATTTTTTAAAAAAATGAATATAATTCAAATATATACATACCAATGTCCAATCATATTAATTTTTTAATAAATATTTTACTCAACGAGGTCCAAAAAATGAACGATTTAGATTATTAAAATTGATTCCAAAATAAGGCCAAGTTTGACATGTATCAAAAAAGACAAAAAATGAAAAAGTTACTCAAAAAGTTAAAAAATTATTACTATTCACAAAAAAAAATATTAAAAATTTAATTTTACACAAAAAAATACAACTCATCAATCACAATAATACAACTCATCAACTCACCAAGTCCGATTTGTGCTATGGTTCAAAAGGAAAATTGCACAATTGGAGTGTAATTTTAAGACACTACTGTTCGGCCCGTAGAGACCCATCATGAGTCCCATTTTGATAATCTGAACCGTTCAATGTGTAGAACTCGTCGAGTACTATATGTCTGTAAAATATCACGTTGATCGGATATCGATAACTATAAAAAATGATGGTGTTGTAGTTAACGGTTGAGAAAAAATAAATCTGATCAGATAGCTATCGATATCCGATCAACGTGATTTTTTACAGATATGTAGTACTCAACGAGTGCTACACATTGAACGGTTCAGATTATCAAAACGGGACTCGTGATGACCCCACAGCCGAAAAACACCGTCTAGTGAAATGCTTAAAAAGTAGACAATTATTTATTATCATCTATTCAACCTGTGCATGAAGGACAGCCGTACAACCCAAAAAAAAATCTTCCCCTATACACTAATTTATGCAATTTTTTAATACACATTTTTTCATAAAAAGTCAAAAAATTAACCCAAATAACTGGCTGTGTTTTGTTTGTGTTTGTAAAGTAGTTTTTGAGATAAAAAGTACGAAAACTTGTTTGGTTTGTCTTTTTTCAGAAATGGTTTTGGAAAATTATTTTAGGAGAGAAAGTTTTAAAAAAAATGATTGATTTGATGTGTATGAAAGAGAGAGTAATTTTAGAAAGTAAGTAATTAAACAAAATTTTAAGATTTTTTTGGAAAAAATATATTTAATTTGATTACTTTTGAAAATTTGTTTGTATATAATTTTTCTCAAAATTTTTTCTAAAAAACAAACCAAACAATTTTTTACCCTCAACTTTTTAATTTAAAAAATTAAAAAGTATATCTATTTAGAACACCCCAAATAATTCCTAAATCTATGAAACCAACGTTTTTTCAAATTGATATGAAAATTTAAGAGGAATCAAATCATTTAAATAAAAAATTAAAAATGAATTAACATGACGGATTGCAAGAGTTTTAATGTGATTAACCCAATTATATAATTAACACAACACCGCTAAATATAACGTCATCACCCGACCCATAGCAACCAACCCCCACTGTCCCAATCACTTCCAGGCCCTTCCATCCTCTCTCTCTCTCTCTCTCTCTCTCTCTCTAAACTCCCTTCACTTCACTTTACTTCCATATCAACCAACCGTGAGAGATTGATCATCAACCTCTAGCTCCCTAAATCAAAAACCCCCATTTTTTTTTTTTCCTCTCTCTCTCTCTCTCTCTCAAGCAATCCTCTTCTCCAACAACCCACAAAAATCAAAAACCCATCTCCCAAAACAATTGAAAAACCCTCCAAAACCCCCCATTTTCCCTCACTTTCCTCCACACCAATCTAATCTAACCAACCAACCCCCAAAATTTTCTCGCTCATTTTCCCCCCCCCCAAAAAAAAAAAAAAAAAAAAAATCAATAATGTTGTCCCTCTCCTCATCCCCATTGATCCCAACTCTTCTCCTCTTACTCTCTCTCCCTCTCCTCTTCCTCCTCATCCCCCACCTCCTCCCTCCTCGCCCCCACCCCATTTCTCTCCCGGACGACCTCGACGACCTCTCCCTTTTCCGCAAAGCCGCCGCCGTCTCTCCGCCGCACCGATCTCTCCCCTCCTCCAAGTCCCGCCTCGGCTCCACAAACCCTAAACCCAAAATCGCCTTCCTCTTCCTCACCAATTCCGATCTTCACTTCGCTCCTCTCTGGGAAATCTTCTTCGCCAATGGATCTACAAACCAATTCAACATCTATGTCCACGCCGACCCAACTGTCAAGATCAACCCTCCCGGTGGAGTTTTCTCCGCCGATCGATTTGTCCCGGCCAAGAAGACTGAACGCTCCTCCGCAACCCTAATCTCCGCCGCTCGCCGCCTCATCGCTAACGCCCTCATCGACGACCCATCCAACGCCTTCTTCGCTCTCCTCTCCCAACATTGCATACCTCTTCATTCTTTCAATTTCGTTTACAACACTCTTTTTCACCGCTCCATCGCCGAGTTGGCTCAGTTGGGTACTCTGCAGTATCGTAGTTTCATCGAGATTTTGACGACTAAGAAGATTCTTTGGGCAAGGTACAATGCTAGGGGCAAGAATGTGATGCTTCCTGAGGTCCCCTTTGATCAATTCCGAGTTGGGTCTCAGTTCTTTGTTCTTACTCGAAGGCACGCCGTCTTGGTGATTCGAGATCGAAGATTGTGGAGGAAATTTAGGTTGCCTTGTGTTTGGATTCAGTCTTGTTACCCTGAAGAACATTACTTTCCGACTTTGCTTTCAATGGAGGACCCAGAAGGGTGTACTGGTTATACATTGACTAGGGTTAATTGGACTGATAGTATCAATGGCCACCCACATACGTATCGGTCTCAGGAGTTGTCGACCGAGCTTATTTACAATCTCCGGAAATCCAATTTCACGCATTCTTACCTGTTTGCTAGGAAATTCTCGCCGGATTGTTTGAGCCCTTTGTTGAATATATCCAATTCTGTCATTTTCCGGGACTAGGATCTGCTTCTGGTGAGTGCATTTCTATCTCTGTTTACTAAAATTCATACGATCTCCCAAATTTTTTAAAGTTTTAAATGTGTTTTGAGTTGGATCGATGTGTGCTGAGTTGAATCAGGATATGTTTGGAATGGTAAAATAAAATGTACGGTGGATTTTGGTTTGGTACTAGTACTAGCTTCATCTACTATTCTAAAGTTGGAATCTTGACTTGTGAAAGTCTGGATTCTATATTTACTTTGCCTTTTGGGGGTGCTTTTAGCTAAAATTTTCTAGAATCTCTAAGGAGTAAGATTTTTATATTTTATTTTTTGCTAAAAGAGCCTCAAACTGAGCATGTTCATGTTGAATTGCAAGTGATGTGATCCAAATTTGTGTCTAGTAACTCTTTATCTTGAGGCTTTATGTTCTCTGATGTTACAAGTATCAACACACAGCATTTAAGACCTTATTTACCATTGACATTTACAGCTTATAAGCTGTAACTTTCAGCTTTTAACTTTAGTTAAGCTAAAATAACATGTTTGATGTAGCTTATGGTAAAATAACTCAAGTTAGCTCAACCTAATTTGAGGCCAAATAAGGCTAAAGGGTGCTTCTTATCATTGTAGCCAAAACAGCTCACCCCTCTCATTTATCTTCGACGTCTATTAAGGACAAAGGTCAAGCCAATTACACAACAAAAAGGTATTTTACAGCTTATTAAACTTACACCATTTTGCAACTTAAATTTATAATCTATAACCATTGTACCAAAGATGTTAAAAACTTCTGCTCTAAGCTATAATCTATAATTTGTTCTAATAGAGGCTCTAAACGGGCCTGTTTTTGGGAATGTTGTTTGGTTGCATATTTAAGGTGGGCTAATTTTTGGTTTGGAGTTGCATTTCTGACTTGGTGTCTAAATTGAATTGCAGACAGAATTAGATGATGTAGGAAAAATGAATTTTTCTTTTTTCTTTTCATTTTGGCTGAAAATTTTTGAATAGATATTTGAAATGTAGTAAATGTGTAGTTGGAACAAATTAACAAAATTTTTGAATTAATCAACCTGTCCCTCTACCCCATTTGATGGGACTTAAGGTTTGGTTTGGTTTGGTTTGGTTTAATCAACCTGTTTGATAGAGGCTCTTTGTGCTTTTGTGTTGTCTTTACAGTATTGTTTTCTTTGGACTGCATATCCATTCTATTATTTGCAATCAAAAGTAGGGGGCAAAAAGAGAGTGTAAAATAAAGTGAAGACAATATGATGGGTAGCTATTTGTGTGCTACTTCCAGCTTTTCACAGACTTCCTCTCATGTATCCATTAGTTCTGGTGGGGACATTTGCAGTTAACATTCACTATGTGTGACTACAACTGACAACAACAAATAGGGCATGTTCTTCACTGCATTATTCATTTTTGTTTGGACTACTGCAAGCATTGCTGAGATGCTGTGATTTCATACTGCAATCTGTATTAGAATGCATATTGTGTCTGCAATATGATGTTTTTAACTTGATTATTGTCTATTTGCTTTCGCAGATGATGAAATTTTTTGAAGCACTTGAAATGGAAGTATGTTGGAGAATTCAAATACCACGCGGGAATTAGGTTTGAAGAGGATGTAAAATGCCCACAACCTAAGAACCCAAAGTTTCCAACTCAAGCATGAGGTGAGATTTCAAAGCTAGTAGTCAGATGCATTTTTAAGGTGTATTTGGTGGTGTACCAATGGTAGTGGTGGTAGTAGTAGTGGACGTGGGGTAATGGTCCTTTGTTGTGTATTTTGTACATATTGATGGATTGAAAAAAAAAATGTTCACATAATGTCACTGAACATTATTGCCATTTTCCCCTGGAGAATGTTAAAAGTAGAGCAGTGGTAAGGCTCATTGCTTTTTCACATGAAGGCGGATCTTGTTCTTCTTTTGAAAATTTCAAGGTTTGAATGCTTCATCTTCAACCAACCTTCATGAGAACTCTCTTGCTTTTTGTGGTTGTTTCTCTGGTAGTCAGTTCCTTTTGGAGTGCTCTCTTTTGTACCTTGTGGTTACCTTTTCACTATGTTTTATGTTTGTGACATGTATGTGTGTATATATATATAACTATTCTTAGTGCATTTACCATTTAGTGATTGCTTGCATTAGCATTGGAAGGTTTGTGTGTGGATTGTGGTACCGTGGTTATGCATCTCATTACATAGATCTGTTCTTGTGAGCTTGATTTAAATTTTATTGTCAATAGGCTTGGCTATGCATCACAGGTGGGTAGGAGGATTGTGAGGTTAGATTTTCAGCAATGCATCTGTGAATGATTTTCATTTAAGGTAAGTTATAGGATTTGTGCCTTGCCACTAGGGCTGTAAACGAACCGAGTCGAGCCGAGCTTTGTTGAGCTTGAGCTCGGCTCGTTTACTTATCGAGTTTGTTTATTGAGCTCGAGCTTGGTTCGGCTCAGCTCGTTAATAGTAATGAAACTTGAGCTCGGCCCGGCTTGTTAATATTACTGAAATTGGACCTCGGCTCGGCTCGATTCGATAATTTTTTTTAATATTATTTAATATATAAATTATATTTATTATATAATTTAAATAAAGATAAACGAGTTGAGTTTGAGAAGCCGAGCTTAGACAAGCTCGAGTTTGGTTTGTTTACTAAACGAACTGAGCCGAGCCGAGCCGAATCAAACTTGTTCATAAACAGATCGATTTATTTGCAGCCCTACTTATCACTGCTCGACTTCCGTATGTATAATAAAGGGAAAAATAGGAAGTTCGTAGTGTGATTTTTTTGGCTGATGTCATAGTCAAACCGTTAGTAAGACTACGAGTTTTAAGTATTGTACGAATATAAAACTTATGGAGAATACGATATGATTATGTTAAAATTGTAAAGTTAATTTGCAATTTCTTCATTATTTAGGCCTCATTTGGAAAATGATTATTTTAGTAATTTTTTGATTTTTTATGAAAGGATTTATAGAAAAATAGAGAGAATGATGTGATAATTTATAGTGATTTTTTGATTAAAATATATAGTTGACTGACGAAGCCTTAGAGGTGATAAATATAGCATATTTTACCCAAACTAAAAAAAAGTTGTACAAGACACTCCCTTCAATATAATACATGTATAGCTTTGGAATATATGTCAAAGCAAGGATGCTTTACTTCAGGTGCAATTTTTTGGCACCTTTGGAGGATCAAAGTAATGATATGCTTTATCTTGTTTTGTTTTATTTATTTATTTTAGATGTGGGGTTGATTTGCTTTATTAGAACGCAACAATTCTACTTTTGCTTTAGGATTCTTTACTTTTTTGATTTTTACATTATTTGAATATTTTCTTGGTCATTTCTTCCATTAGTTTATTATATTATTTATATATTTACTTTTTTTTTTTTTTTTAGGGATATATATTTACTTTAATGTTGTTACTTTTTCTAGCTCCAATAATTTGGCAGTCTATTTGTCTAATCAAGAAAGAAAATAAAAGAAAACTAATCAAAAAAGAGAGAAGAAAAGAAAAGAAAATATAATGGTATCTTTTTGTCTTTGGAAATGAAGAGAAAAAAAAGTTGTCCTTCATTTTGAGAAAGAGAGGAAAGAAAAAGAAAAAAAAAATTATAATGTGCTAAGAGAGTGACATGGGTAGACTCCAAAAGGCTACAATCCACAATGAATAATTCAAGCCTACCACTTAGGGCTCAATACATAATCCAATTAATGAAGTCCAGCACAGTTGAAGCCTCACATAGCAATAAGAATCAATGGCATCAAGACATATGGCAAGAGAAGCGCAAGTCACTTCAGCAGACAAAGATCTGTAAAGTTATTGCTACGTTATATCGTCATTAATTAGGCCTCCTATAGCATTTATTGCGATAACCCTTCTCCGTCGGGATAGCACGCCCTTACCCTGAACAAGGTAAGTTACAGCATAGACTTTCGGCCAAGGTGACAGGTCGAAAGGGACAACGAAATGATTGTCAGAGGATATAAGTAGACGTTGAAGACAAGAAGAAGGTTAAGTTTTCTATCTCTAATCCATCACTACTCTCCACTTCTCTTTCTAATTTGCTCGTCGGAGAGTTCACTAGGGACTCCACGTTTCCCGTTGAACTTGTGTGCAGGTTTCTCGGTGGGCTTGGTCATTCAGGCGTAGGATTGAGGAGCGTGGATCAGTCCGACCCGTTCTGCTTGGAACGAACAGTATCATCAGAGAGGAATATAGGCAATCGCGTCTCTTTAATTTTAGATATTCAAAATACAGACACATATTAATATATCAATAAACATATTAACATAATCAGAAATTTTAAATTTACAGAATTGAAATATTTTGAGTTGTTTTAAGAATATGGTTAAAAGTTGATTTTTTTATTTTTAATTTTTGTTTTTATTAAAAAACGTTTAAAAAATGTGAGAGATGATATGACTGAAAATGAGTTAATTTTTACGCATCTTTTCAAAATAATCTATTGTCAAAATAGGACATTTTAAACATGTTAAAAATCAAATTTGAAATGTGTGATTTTGACAACAAAGATGCTCTAAACGGGTGTATTGTATTGTATCTAATGTAGGCACCGACTCACACCCTCTGCCAAACAGTTTTTTTATTTAATTTTATTATTATTATTAATTTTTTTTTTAAAAGGGAAACAAAAAAAAAGTGTTGGGTGAATGATTTTTGATGACCTCTTCAAACCAGTGAAGCAACCATTCCACCAAACATGGTTAGGTGGGTTGATGATTGCTGACTCTCCACCGCACATCTTTTCCCCACATCCCAATTCAAATATGACAAAACAAAAATGATCTGGACTCCTTTTTTTCCCACTTCCCTTGCCCCACTCTCTCTGATTGGTCAATTTTTTTTTTTCTTCCTTCTCCTCCAATCACCATCCGCCACGTGTATGTGAAGAGTGGTGCGAGTAGTGATTGGAGGGGGTCTCAATCACTTTTCATGTACGAGTCTCTACGCATATTTATTAATATATTCGTTAATGTGAAATTATTTTATTTATATATTTGGTGATAAAAATATATGTATAGATTGAGCTCAATGGCATAATCAAGATTTTAGCAGGGTCTGCAAATACTAATACAAAATATTGTGTCACGTCAGTTTGGAACACTGTTTAGTTTAGTAAACAAAAAAATAATTATCAATATTTCAACATTTTTCTAATATCATACATATTACTATAATAAAATCATTTGACATTCATATTTGTAGAACTTTCTAATAATATGAAATGAATGAAAATAGTCAATATGTTGGCGAAGTTCAGGGCGAATCAACCTGAAGATTTACTAGTAGTTAACGAGCATCCGGCTGAGATTCACAACCTTTTGGTTGCAGATATGTTAGGTGTTGGAAGGGTGAGGGAGTAGCCCCCCTTCCCTGTTTTTCTTTTCGATGTAGAGGACAAAAAACAAAAAAAAGAAAAAAGAAAAGAAAATAGTCAATAAATGTCAATTGTTTAATTAATGGTGGTTTTTATTTTTTTATTATTATTTTTTAATTTGGGGGGGGGGGTGGAATGGTGGTTTGAGTTTGTTGGAGGGAGAATGACAAAAATTTTAAGGCTATACATATAATTTTAGAAGCAAGATTTTAAAAACATTTTCTAAACCATAACTAAAAATGTAATTTCTTAGAAGTTGAGGAAGGACATGTGCCCCTCCCAGTACCTAACTAGCTCTGCCCTGGTTGGGTTCTTCTCCATTTGGTAATCTAATTGGAGCGGTGTTATTGGGTTTGGTGGGTCTATTTCTGGATTTATTTTCAATTATTCAAATTATTTATTTTGTAGAATTTATCTAGAAAAATGTCAATGCAAAAAAAAAATAAAAAAAATTAAGTTCATTAAATATCAATAGTCAAACAATCAAATAACATTTGTCTTAAAAGAAATAAACAACCTATTTTCAAACGTATTTATTGTTCAATTTATAAGAAAAATATGATTGATTATGTATGTTCAATCACCTTATTTTTTATGTAAATTATTTTCTTAATAAACTTTATAAAATGAACTGTTCAAATTATCAAGATGAGTTTCAAAATAAACCTAATGAAACCAACAACACTTCTCTAATTGAATCACCAACTTATGAGAAGCTACTTCCAAAAAAAATATTATGAAAAATCTATTTATATATAATATAACTTCTAAAAATAATTTTCATAATGCATCTCTCAGAAGCACCTAGCATTGCCATTGGTACATAGAAACAAATAACATATGAAAGATGGACCAAAGAAGTAGGTCAATTTTGTTCCTTTTTTCAAATCAATGTGTGATAAGCCAACCAATTTACATGAATTAATGGCCATGATTAATTGATTGTTCAAGAAGAAGAAAGCAAGTGGGGAAGAAAAAAAAGACAAATGAAATTGGTGGATCATTAAATTAGTTGATGAACCATACCCAACAACCATACATAGGAAGCCATAAAATGTTGAGTTAGTTACATTTTTTACTCTTAGAATTTGATTTAATTTTTAGGGGATTTTTTTTAAAACTCTGGTATTAAGATTTTATAGCATAAAGGCACTCAATATTTTTCATAATGTCTAAGGTCCCTCAATATCGATCCAAAAAAAATTCGACCTAGATAAAATTCGATCCAGAGAATTTCTCTAGACAAATCACAGAGAAAATTTCAAATTTCTCTGAACACATCACAGAGAAAATTTTACACATCACCAACACCAAATTTCTCTGGACACATCACAGAGAAAATTTTACACATCACCGACACCAAATTTCTCTAGACACATCACAGAGAAAATTTTACACATTACCAACACCAAATTTCTCTAGGTTTAAACCAGAGAAAATTACAAATTTCTCTGAATATATCACAAAAAAAATTCTAAATTTCTCTAGACACATCATAGAGAAAATTTTACACATCACCCACACCAAATTTCTCTGGACACATCACAGAGGAATTTTACACATCTCCAACACCAAATTTCTCTAGACACATCATAGAGAAAATTTTACACATTACCAACACCAAATTTCTCTGGGTTCAAATTAGAGAAAATTGAAATTTCTCTAAGTTCAAACTAAAGAACTTTTTTTTCTTTTTCTTTTCTTATTTCAA